CTTGTAGAACAGATTCCGTATATTCATTCCTGATTATTATAAACACGGAAATGGAATTGCTGAAATATGTATTTATTTTGAGTCCATTTTATGTCAAATAATACCTAAATTGGTAATAATTAGTTTACAGTACTGAATTACAAATTGTAGAAACTGGAATTCGCTGTATTGTGGATTTTGATAACATTTATCACGCGTAGGTACCTGATTATACATTGATATTGTATGGAAACGCCTTTGGAGCGCAAATGCTAGTCTTATTTACTGCATGCTAGCTATGATTGTACCAGTTGCACTGGCCTACTAATGTTAACGTGTGTGTATTTTCACATTCATAGAGGACTGACTATTAGGAGTAGAAGAGAGAGGCTTAAAAGATAACCAAGGCAAAGGATTACACTGTTGTATTAATATTGATTAATTGTGAAATGATCTTTGTTTAAAAATTGCGATAAGTGGGTTATTGTATTATGCAATTTCCCTCAAGAGCACTTGAAGTCAATTCTGAAGTGCTGATGTTTGTTAGCTCGGCATTCTTATATAGGAGTATCTACAATCTATGAACGATATCGAACGACTCAATATTTTTCGTCCCTGGTTGTTACCGATGTTTCAAAGTGTTTATTCATAAAATGTCATACAAGAAAATATACTTAGCGTTATTTATACATTGGCAATGCATCGCGTTTTTTGTAAACAAATAAATGTGTCGTATGGATTTCAAACTACTTAACAATAGGAATATTATTGTTGAATAAACATAGTTGAAAATGTATTGTTTTATTTACCTGCGGTAGCTGTGAGTGTAAATTAAATTATTTATCTACTTAATATGAAATGGCATAAACATACCATGCAGCCACGTAATGTGACCGAACTCGATGGTGGTACCTCTTTTTTGAATACTAATTTCTACAAATATCTTAAACTGATTATATCCGAGGACACAAGACTGCCAACACGAGTCTAGGGTAGCCCAAGGGCAGTACCTGGATCTTCTGAAAGCGCTTCGTCGTAGACTGTTGAACCTTTTCATATACTATAAGTTTGATAGACTTATCAAACACATGATTTATTAAACAGAAAGTCCGTGTTACAAATAATAAGATACGAATTTCAGGAGTTCTAGGAAATCATTTCCCATTCAACAATTCATTCCAATTCCTAATGAGAGCCTATAAAAAATGTACCTTTGATATATAAAAACATGAAATGAAAATATTTACAATAATTTAAAAACTTTTTAACTCGCCAAAGTAGCATTAATAGTCATGCAATGAAAACGTAGACATACACAAAATTTCAATTCAACCATTTTAAGATATTGCTACAAAATTTAGTTACCAGATTCCACTTCGCATACACGAAACATTACAGCATTTATATAAATACTGCCGTATTACCGAGACCCTACCGACGAGAAATCGGTGGTTGCCGGAAAGTAAGTACTAAGATCTTAGTTGTAAGACCTATGCCAGGAACTAAGTGCCTAAAAAACTACTTTGAATCGTATATACTCATGTTCTAGATGTAAAATTGTATTTAAATCCTGTAGATTATGTTTTCGTTGGTTGGTAGCGTTTTTAAACAAAAATTCGTAATAAATAGTCGTACGAATATCAGAAGTAGCATATAAAAGAAATGAAATCCCGCAAATTAGATTTTTATGGAAACTGTTGCAATTTTAAAAAGTAGGTAGGTAATTGAGCCTAGTTTTTATCTCTACATGGGCGGGCCCAAATCTATAAGACATATGTATGCATATGGGTCTGTGTTGCTAACACAGAGTGAGTGAGGCCGTGATGTCACTTTGTAAGAGTTCGCCTATTTGTGTACAAATACTTCTGCTCTCCCATGTGTAACCCTAATTTTACACATAATTGCGACAAAATACCCTAGCCCGTAGTTTGTAGTGCGTATGCGTAGCTCGTATCGCACGTTTAGTTGCCAGTAGTACATACGTAGTACGTAGCGCAAAATTCGTAGCTCACAATTCGTAGCTCGTACTACATAGCTCGTAGTACGTAGCGCAAAGTTCGTAGCCCGCAATCGCAGCTCGTACTGCGTAGCTCGTAGTACGCAACTCGTAGTGGAGAGCGTAGCAGTAGCGCTTCCCCGCTATTTATCTCGTAGGCATGTAAACCGTGGATTCAAAATCAGTCAAAATGCGTATCTAGACATTTTTGCTATTTATAGTAATGTGACCTTGAGCTTCTATTTAATTTTAATTCTTTTTCTGTTTATATAATAGTCTGTGTACTAACAAAATTGTTATGCCACGTAGTTAATTTTAGGATGTGTGGAGTGTTTGTAAACGTTTTTGTGCGGATGGCTCGCTGCTACTCGTAACGAACATGAACGATGTGCTACAAGTTACGGCTATAGTTTGCCACAAGCCAATTGTAAAATTAGGGTTACACATGGGAGAGCAGTAGTATTTTTACACAAATAGGCTTTCAAAGTGATACCATGGCCTCACCGAAATCAGGCGTGAAATAACGTGTTAACATTACGTAGAAGCCTATATGCATACATATGTTGTATGAATAAAAAACAAGATAGATACCTATGTATATATAAAGTGGCATATATTATGTAGGTTTTAGATGATACGGGATTTCCCCTGCCACAGATCTTACGTATAATATGCACGCGTTAAAACCGGTTCAGGATAGACATCATCTACGCTACATACCTATACTTATTATACTCTTTTTCTACATACCTATACAGAATGAAAAGTCGTTAAAATCTTTCCTGTTAGGTAGCTAATATGACGTCGTAAGTGATCGTTTATTTATATGTGTATTTTATGTATCGTTATTACGTATTAAGTATATAATATTGTATGTTTTCACTTTATCGTAGTTATTAATGTTATTATTTTGTTTCAGTTTAAGTCCCTTTATTTTTCTTTTGTTACACACTGTCTTACATCTTAATTACTGTTCCTGCCTCAGGTCTACTGGAAGAAATTCAGATAGGAATAAGTAGCACCTTTGTACTTCCATTTTATAAATATATTGGCCTCTGTGTTGTTTGTGTGTCTATGTATAGATTATTAAAATATTACATGAAATATGGAGATAACCGGAAAATAATAGTTTGAATACCATTAAAGCTTGAAATGCATTATTAGTTTCTTGTTTTAAAAACTACAAAAGGGTAATGCAACAGTTGTAAATGTTACGATATCTATATAAATAAATACTGTTGCGACTGTTACGATATCTATCTATCTATGTAAGTAAAAAAATAATTTCATTAGTTAGTCTCGCTGAAACTCGAGCACTGCTGAACCGATTTGACTAATTTTTGTCTTAAAATGGTTGTGGAAGTCTAGGGAAGGTTTAAAAACTGGGAAAAGAATAATTTAGGCGGTACAAAGTATGCCAGGTGAGTTCTATATACCTATATGTACGTACATACAAACATACGTACGCCTTTTTTTTAAGGGCCAAAATTATCGAATGACTGCTCCCACCTGGGTGAGGCGAGAGGGAGTGTCAGACTCTTACTGACTAAAAACCACCCCGTTCCTTCTCCTGCACGTCGAGCCATAGCCCCAGTTACCCGTTAGGTTCTCCGCGACACATACATACGTTTAGTCTCATTTTGCTTTTAGTAGTGAAAGAATTAATATTTTAGTTAAGGAAAACGGAACTAACATAATGCTATTTAAAATTATTTGTGCGAAATAAAGTAACATTTTCGTATATTATAATCATACATTCATATTATTATGCATTTAGTAATAGTTTTCCTCGAGTCTACCTACGTAAGCACTTCTGTTTGATAAAATTAAATATTATTTAACCGTTAGGAGGTACCTACCTAAATGGTGGTGAATTAAGATACGCGGAGCCAGACGCAAATTCTATTTGTTGCCATTAATTTTAAGTACCGTACTCAAAAAATATTACTTACGTATTTACGTATTTATTTTATTATTTACGTATTTTAAAAAAAACAGTACAATATTTTTTTAGCATATAGCATCACGTAAATATTACATAAATATTTATATTATAGTAAATGAATAATATACTACATGAATATTATGTCAAATGTGCATTATAGGAAATGTTTATTATATCATAAGAAATTAGATAAAATGAAATTATAACAATTCATTATATCAACTGATCGTTATATTAAACAAAAGTATATTAACTGAAATTAGGTCAAGTGAACGTTAGATTTTTTGTTATTATATCAACCGTTACACACCCGTACGTATGTATGTTTGTTTGATAGACTGAACCGATTTTGATGCGGATTGCAAAAAAGTGTTTGTTACACTTAGGGGAAGGTTTTCATATATTAATTAACCGACTTCAAAAAAGAAAGGATTTTTTTTTTAAGGGGGGAAAGTCATCGAATGACTGCTCCCGCCTGGGTGAGGCGGGAGGGAGTGTCAGACTCTTACTGACTAAAAACCACCCCGTTCCTTCTCCTGCACGTCGAGCCGGAGCCCCGGTTACCTGTTAGGTTCTCCGCGACTCCGAATCGGCATCGGCCGTATTGGGCCCCATTTGTGGTGGTCTGATGGCTCTTTGAGGCGCGCGCGGAACGCGACGCGCCGTACGCTCGGGTCTGTTTCTGGTCGGACGGGGAGCCATCCATGCTCGCCGTCCGCAGGCCCCTGCTTACGGTGGCCGGAGATCGTCCCGCGATCCCCGACGCCCGGTATGTCCTTCGCGATGGCTAATGGGTTGCGAGGAAAAAAAAAAGATAAGATGAAGTCGGTTTATATTAACGTTACTTATTGATGTTAGCGGCCTCCTAGTTGAAGGGTTAATAAATTAAATATCTACCTATCCTAAATAGCCTACCTATACCTAAGTTGGTTTATGATTTTATGATAGCTGTGTGGAATGTAAGTACATAATATTTTGATCATGAAATGAAGTTGTCTGGACACGTGTTCCTTTTATAGAATAAAGATGAGATCATAGGGAATATTGAAGGCCGTTCGTTGAAGTTCGTACGGGTTCGGTTCATTTCGCGTTAGACGCTTTTTTGTTATGTCTGCGGGTTTGTTGGTTGAAAAGTATTTAGTTACTCAAGCATACACCATTTGAAGCTCGTGCGTCGTGGCTGACGGACAGTGCGGTCGTGTTGTGGATACAATCTCAGTAATCCGGTTTCAATAAGTGTTGTAAACAAATTTTAATCATTTTTAAAACCAGTTCTCATCATCTCCAGTGTTGTGCAAAGGTCAGACGAGTTTACATTTAATATTTTTGTTTTAAAATATTTTTTTTTAAGTACCCAAGCTTTATGCTTCATGCGAGACTCATATCAATGTAAGGTGGTGTAAAGTTATTGTTCTGTGCCGTCAACACGAAGCATTTAATGTTTTAATTATCGATTTAGTTACTTTTAGTATACATTTCTTTAATTGTCATCATGTTTTTGATGTCCATTTGGGATTACCATGTTTTCCTCCAATTAAGTGGTAGAATTAAAATGTGACCTTCTTTAATATTTATGTTAATTAGGTAATTCAACAGAATAACACATCGCCTACACGTGTCAAAGCATGTAGGTGATATGTTATTGGCTTAGTCCCGTTGATTTTTTATAATTAGGTATCTATATAGACGCAAACATCTTAGTAGGGTACTTACACGTACTTTGTATATGTATTTAAAAAGATATTCAGTTTTGACAAATTAGCAAATATTCACTTATTACTTAAAAATCATAATATTTACGACCGCGTTCATAAGTTTGGGTGGCCAGGTCTGCAGACTACGCTAAGTCCCTTGGGCCCATAATAATTCGGGTCCTATTTGAAATTATTTTTAATATTACCCCACACTAGGATTTTCTCCTGTATCGTGGGTGCACTTACAAACGTATAAATTTCACATACACATAGCGGGTGTGTGTCCATCGTAGAAGTTGTCGGTCGGTAGGGACCCCCTGGGGATGGGGGATTGTAATGTAGGTATGAACTAGATATATCAGACAGTACAAATTTTCACGAACTTAACGGGAGTAAATTGACACAATAGAAAACATATTGTGTCTTGCGTAGGTCTACGTTCCGATATACAACAGGTTAATATAGTGTTGAAGTAAAATGTGTACGTAAAATATGCTAATTAGATATCTAGGTACAACTTCTTCCTCAAATTATAGACAAAATTCCTATATTGTGCGAGTGAGTAGGGATTATAATAGATTGTGCAAGGATTTAGGACTCGATCAATTTACCACAAGCCGTTCAAGGGTGCGTAAGCGACTAAACCTTAAATTTTTTGAATGAATATCCATGTTTTATACTTTTATGTGTATTGCATTCGCAAAACTTCTGTAAAGATATACTGTGGCAAGCCGTGGAAACCTATAATTGGCTTTGTATTAACATATCCTGAAATTTTATTCTTTGTAATATAGCTGTTGGTTATCCGAATTAAAATAAATAAATAAATAAATTGGTATAATAAGGTTTTGAAAAGGTTTCTACAATGCTTTATCATCAACAGCCTATAAGAGGGCATGGGCCTCTCCTCGCACGGATAAGGTTTAATCATAAATATTATTAATGACGCTCAGGTACCTTTCATTTCATTATTTTCTCATCGTATAACTAACAACAATGTTAACAGATAAAGGTATATAGTTAGCTATCTATAAACGAATGACAAACTATTTATTTTTAACTATTTTATTATTTATTTATTTATCTTTATATCACACAGGTAAGTATTTTATAATCTAAGCCCCATAAAACCGTTGCAATGGTTTGACTGCGGGGTCCAGTCGCTAGACATTATAATTAAATGTACTTATATTCAAATGTTATACAGGCGTTGAAACTTATACCTACTTACTTATTACTAGGACATTTCTAAATAATATGACTTTAATTTTCGTTTGAACCTATTTGAATTTGTTTCACTCCTTATGTCTGCCGGCAGACTGTTTAATAGATACGGTATTCTCTTTTTTAGTGTTCTATCACCAAAATAGTTGGTGACTCTGGGTACATTGTATCTACCAGCAGCCATAGTTCGTGTGTTATGGTTGTTCTTTACATAAGATAAGTCATGCTCCTGTGTACGTGAAAACTAAAACACAACTAGTGTCATACTTCGGCATGAATGGGCATTCATGCCGTGACGTGGCGTGAAACGATACTGGCGTTGTGTTTCATTGTGTGAGTAAAGTTATCGGAGTCCCAATTACCCCCACTCTTCCCCCAATCTCCCCAATCTCTGGATCCCCAACAATCTTCAATTTCCTAATCCCCAAAAGGCCGGTAACGCACTTGTAACGCCTCTGGTGATTCGTCTGCTCATTTACCGGATTTTCAAATAAAAAAAATATATAAAAAACAACACTCATAGTCTGGCTACTTCACTAAAGATCTGACTAGATACAAAACCAATATAGCTACTTATGTACATATAGATGGACACATACAAAGATGCATAGCGTAAAAGTAAACAATTTGCGCACACAAGCTGTTTATTTTTATTCAAAGAAATAGAAAGCTATATAATACACCTACTTAATAATATTCACACGAGTTAGTACAATACAATAAGAATAATAAACATTTACGTACCGATACACATTGCACATTGACATACCTAAGGCAATACTAAAGTGTTATAGGTATTTTAGGTATTTAGATATATCCGATGTTATACATATATATAATTATAGTTGGTCACGAAGTTAGATACTTACCTAATGACTGCACGGTTGGTGCGGTGGCTGGGCAACCGGCTACTTCAGCTACTTCAGTATGTGAACTTGTATGTTTGTAAACGCAACCACGACACAGGAGAAAACGTTAATGTGGGGCAACGTTTAAAAAAAAAACCTAACGAAAATTTTATTAATAATATTATACGTTAGTCCTATCAGTTTGTTTTAAAACTTAAGTATGTATCATAATATCTGACACTCCCTCTCGCCTGACCCAGGCTGGAGCGGTCATTCTATGATTTCTCCCCTTTAAAAAAAAGGTATCATAATATAGCTATTCATCAAGTTTTCCCTATTTTCCATAAAGAAGACCAAAAGTCTTCGAAATGGTTGAGGGTAGAACTGTTCTATAGTTTTGAGCTTAGTGACAGATTCATAGAATGATTTTATGTACACCAACAATGTAAAGAGAACAGATTTCATTTTTTGTTCGTTTGCTTGAATTAAATTGCTGCCTTGCATATATTTTATATATTGCATAATATGCATATATTGCATAATAAAAGCTTGCTGCTAAAAAAAATAAAAGACTGCCTCGATGGCCGAGTGGTCGCAAGTGCGACTACCGTGCAAGGGGTCTCGGGTTCATCTCAGTAGTAGCACGGATTCTGGAAATGTGCCCGGTATATGGCAATAGACTCACCCCCTATTACATGGGACTCATAACGTACTATGTAACACCCACTTTGCACTATTTTTATTATGAGTCCCATGTAATAAGGAGTGAGCCTATTGCCATATACCGGGCACAATTCCAGACTTCCTGCTACTACAATACTACTGAGATCTTTTTAAAAAACCCAGCAACTTTGCACGACCCGGGAATCGAACCCGAGACACCTTGCCCGGTAGTCGCACTTGCAACCATTTAGCCAACGAGGCAGTCCTACACGAGTTCTGCGTAAATTGAAATTCGATTATGAACTTGTTTCGCTTGCAATGTAAGAATTGCTCGAATGTAATATGAGAACATCTACACTACATATATACCTAAGTACCTAGCAAGTAGGAGAGTTACCTATTTGAAACATAACAAAGGCTAAGTAACCTTCTTACGTGGATTAAAATAAATAAAGGTAAAAATTAAAACTTACATTAGGCAATTTATCTGCAATTTACTATAGGTACTTACTGTTAATGATACTCTCTACTCTTTCTTATTTTTATTTAAATTTAACCTATTAAACATTTTTATCTGACTGCGCGGTTGGCGTAACGTGTCGCGGCTTCGATCCCCGCACGGAACATATCTTTGGGTGATCCACGGATTGTTGTTCCGGGTCTGGGTGTCATGTGTATGTGAACTTGTATGTTTGTAAACGCACCCACGACACAGGAGAAAATCGTAGTGTGGGGCAACGTTTTTTTTTAAAGAAAATATAATTATAAAATTTAATTTTATTTTTCAGTTCAAACATGCAGAACGACGGCCTACCGCTGTATCCTTCTGATTACAACACCCAAGTGCAGGTAAAGTCAATTAATATTTTGTTGACACGGTGTAAAATTTTGAAAGGTGTCATACTAGCAAATGCAGGATTTCTAGATTAATATTAGCACCTGTAGTAGGTCAATAGGGCACTGGTACCCATAAATAGTGTATTTCTGCCTCTGGACCTGGAGTCTCAATGCTGTGCAAAGTGCAACGCGTGTCATGGTAGGTTGTGTACTGCCAGCACAATTATTTAGTACCTAGTAGCAAGAAAATAAAAATTGACTTAGTAAGAAAGTAGCTATTACATTATTATAAGCTAAATTTTATAGTTTTTAACCAAGCCATAATTACCTTCTGTAACCCTTGGTCGATTCAGTAGCCAACGAATGGTTACTGTCTGTAAAAAATCTATCTTTATTAAATGACTTCAAAAAAAGAATGTTCTCAGTTTGTGTATATGTATGTTAATGCGCGATAATCTCGTGATTGGCTGAACTGATATTGATGCGGTTTTCCGAAAAGTGTTTGCTACACTTAAGAGAAGGTTTTAGTGTACCTATAAATTAATCGACTTAAAAAATTAGAGGGTTCAAATCGGCGTTTTAAACGTAGTTTATACTTAAAGGAATTATTTTTAAATACATAATAAATAGCTGTGCTAACTGAACCTAGATACTTAAACCTACTAAAGTCATACTATATCTTTACCGGTTACGGGTAACTTGGACAAGTAGTTTAATGTTAATTGCTATTGAAGTCTTATTCCTAAGACTGTTTTTCCTTAAAGTAGAATTTAATGCAATTTAATATTTGTATGAACTTGAACATAGAATCGTACAATACTAGACTCGATATAACATACTTACTCCTAAAATGTATGGACTTGGTCTCCGTTATGTCCTAAGACTGTGACCAAGCGACGTGTGGTCAGCAGCAGTAACCTCTAACTTTCCGATACCCCAATTGCGGCTACCAACTTTCAAACTTATTGGGATTAAAGCAATAGTCCTTTATGGAGGGGCCCTTTGTTCCGCAGTGAAGAAGATACCCATTATACGATAGGTCGAATCATAAATTCACCATCATTATAGCTTTTTTCATACCCTTTTACTTCTAACTTCTTTTCGCGATTTAAACTGTCAAACACCAAGCGGTCACCAGTGACCGCAACCTATTGTTCTATAATTGTGTCTATAATGACGGTACTCGACGAGTAAACTTTAAATTCAACTCAACGACAGGACAAGCTAATATATACTTATTTATAGGAACTTAGTTATAGGAAATAGAGAATACCTACAATACAATAACAAGCAAAATATCTAATATCTACAATCTACAATTAGAGGTAAAAACTTAAAATTATAAATCTTGTTTGTTATTTTCCTTATTAATATACCACAACCACAACATACCACGATATTGTATGCGCCTAACATAGGTCATCATTAGTGTAATATATGCACTTAATGCTAAATGATAATTTCCTTGTTGTGAATCGATTTGCTTTTTCCCTGTGTCGAGCGTTAACAAATATTCAAGTTCACATAGACATGACATCCAGGCTCGGAATAGATAATAGATAACAATCTTAGAATCACAAGAGTTGTTTCGTGTGGGAATCAAACCCGCTACATGTTGCGCAGAAGTCCATTAGGCTAACGCTAACGGTAACGCCACGCTACTCCTGTTTTTCGAGTTGGTGCCCCGGAAACCCATTAGGCCTTTCGCGGCTCCGTATTGGGCATTAGCCCTACTAGCCCCTATCTTTGGTGGTCTGATGGCTCTTTGAGGCACTGTTCAGTTCTGGTTGGGGTTCTGGGTGGTCGGGCGGCAAGCCGCCCTTGCTCGCCGTCCGCAAACCCGCACTTATAGTGGCCGGAGATCATCGCGCGATCTCTGTCGCCCGGAGTGTCTCCCGCGACGACTGGGGCGTGAGGAGGTTCGTTCCCTTACGAGCCCTGCCTCCTTCTTGGCTAGCATGACTGCTTAAAAGAAGGAGGCGGCATCCCAGTCCCCCTCGCTCCATGGCCTTAACCAGAACCGGACGGGAGAGATCGCTGTCGCCGACCACAGCACAGCAGGTACCTTTAGTTTTAATTTAATTTAAGTGTATTCTATACCTACCTAGGTAGGGAAGGTACTTTATACCTGAACAATCTCAATTCATAATGTTCAAGAATATTGTTTCCCACACGTTAACAACGTGCTCTTGGTCCGTTTTCTGTTTATGGCATGGGGTGGCAACCGAGCAGAAGGATCACCTTATGGGAAGCAATAGGTGGCATTTAGCTGGCTCGAGTGATGTCATTCTTCGACGTTCCGGCGGATTAATATAATGTTTTACTTAACAAGTACCTAGTCATAAATAAAATTATCTTCTATACTTATAATAACTCTGTACAGAGGTCATTCCTGTACATGAAATATGTTTCCAAAATAATTATAAGGGGGTGATTAGCGATCGATACTGATGCCAAAAATGCAATCAATAGAATTTTTGTCTCACTCTCATCATCCCGAAATAAAAAAATAACATTATTAACTTTTTCAGAAAAATAATCATAGAAATCGGTATAGAAACACCGTAGGTACTTTTTATCCTGAAAAAAATGTATAGGTACCTACACTAAAAACAAATTTACCTAATTGTGCGACTCGATCCCTAGATACATCTAATTACTATACCAAAGGCAAATAAATACGTAGAATATATAAGGTGCTCTATAATTATCAGCCACACCTTTAATTTATTTTATTTATTTATTTACACAAAGTTTGTTAAAAATTAATGTTTACTTAATTACTTTATGTAATAAACTGGTCCGGGGTACGAAATTTCTTCAGTATTGTAATCTGTAAACATAACACTACCTCCCATTAAAGCCGTGGCTGATAATTATAGAGCACCTTATATATTTGTTGAATGTTAGGTTGTTTTTTTTAAATAAATGTTGCTCCACACTAGGATTTTCCCGTGTATCGTGGGTGCGTTTACAAACATACATGTTCACATACACTTGACACCCAGACACGGAACATCAATCTCTGGATCACAGAAAGAGCAGGGTGCTTACCTACTCTTGAATCCAATTCCGATCGATCGACATTGACATTGTGGTTTCGTACTCTTGAAGTCTTGAGTTGTAACACTAGCGCCCATAGCATCCATATTGCGTGGATATTTCATAAATGGTATTGAGTTTGGCTTTATATTCCGTACTCTAAATGCTACTTTAGCAGCTACGATTGTGGTTGTATAGTTTTGACATTTCACATTGGATAATTATTGAGATTTTATGGGATTAAAAATGCATTGACATTGAGATTGGTTTCAAGAGTAAGCACCCTGTTCCGTACGGGAATCGAACCCGCGACACATTGCGCGGCAGTCAGTTGCCCAAGAAGAACTTTATATTAGCTTGAACCGCTATTACGTAGGTACGTATAAATGCCAAAAATTGTGTTTGTGTGTATGTTTGTTACTCAGTCACATCAAAACGGTTGAAGAAGGGAACAGGATAATATTGGAAACAGAGGTAGATTATGGTTTGGAGTAATTATTGTAAATATTGTAACTATTTACCCTCCGGGACCGCGGGCGAAGCCGCTGGCAGAGGCTATAGTCTAGTCACCTAGTAGGTATCTAAAGAAAGCACGTGGCGTTATTTAGTGAGTACATTTATCGTTCATCAAGCAATCCATTCCATACTTCATATTATTGTAGTGAGTAGGTAAATATTTTCATGCTTGGTAAAATATAACATGGCAAAATTAGGTCACCACACCAAGGGCTGATTTTTCCAACGTCAGATGCTTAACTTAGGAATAAATTTGAATTCTTCCATACTAAAAACTATCAATTATTATTGTCAATTTAATTAATTGATGATTGAAAAATCGGCCCTAAGAGAGAGTGCGAGCCATGCTTCGACACGAATGACGAATGGGCCGGCTCGACCGGAGTGATACCACGGCCTTACGTGAAACAACGCTGCGTTGTGTTTTGTGTGAGTGAGGTTACTGGAGCAACACAATTACCTTAATATTAATAGCTTATCCCATAAAATAAACGAATATTCATTAACTTAATTCTAATGATCCATTTGCCTGAACGATTGATGTTATCGAGGATAACTGGCGTCAAAAATGTCGTGACAATTTATAAATGTATAGGTGCATTATACAAAGGAGAATATGGTATGAAGGACTGTTAAAAATAGGCTTCAAAGTTAATCAGAAATGTTCAAATAAGTAACATTTACTTCGGAACCTAACAGTTAGTAACGTAACTGATTGTTGGTAAGATAGAAAAAAAGGATTTCATTGTTCTGTTATTTTTAAGAATACGTATCCATGTATTGTTCCAGATTAAAAAGTTTAACCAGAAGAGCGAACCCATGCCGGTAGCAGCGCAGCCGGCCGTAGAACCAATGCCACATGTGCCCGCGGTATTTATAAATACTTTATATTTATTTACATAAACGAGTAGTGTATAACTTTATAAATAACATAACATAACATCACGCCTTTTATCCCATCCCTAAAGGGGTAGACAGAAGTTCACACAGAAGTTACACCCACTTTTCACTATTTATGTTATGAGTCCCATGTAATAGGGGGTGAGCCCATTGCCATATATCGGGCACAATTCCAGACTCCGTGCTACTACTGAGATTAAAAAAAAAACCCACTAATACTTTGCCCGACCCGGGAATCGAACCCCATGCCCGGCAGTCGCACTTGCGATCACTCGACCAACGAGGCAGTCACTTTATAAATATGTAACTGTATTGTGAATATAGGTACCTAAATTACATTTAATTAATATTTTATATTAATGACTCCTCCAATAACAACTCATGCATCTTAAATGGCAGAATGTAGCTGATCAAATTATTTTATAATAACTACTATAACATCTACACTTGACCTATATTCGCAATACCTACACGATTTGAATTTGAAGGTCGCACTCCATGGTAAGTTACTCTGGGTTATCTAAACCGATGTTGGATACTCTACTTAGGCACTGAACATTCATTTGCGTTTTGGCACATTATTTACACAATAGTTACCTACGCAGTGGTAATAGGTATAGGGTGAATTGGAATCGATAGGTGAATGTGGAGGTAAACAGTACAATTTCCCAATATCTGTTCACCACGTTTTAACGTACAAATGTCCCCTATGATTTTAGAGCGGTACTCGGTTGGGGCTATTGCTTTACGGTGAAATTGTTTCAGAAGCCTTTGCTGGGGCCTGTGAACACAGCGACGACTTGCCAGTTCTGCCACGCCTCGATCAAGACTGCGGTCAAGTACACCACTACTGCGCGCACGCACATGGCTGCGGCTCTCTGTGGCTTATTGTGGTAATGAAGTCTTCAACTTTATTCAAACGTTGATAAGGGAATAATAAACGTTATGTCGTGAAACAGTAATCGTCCATTTAAGCACGAGTATTGTAACCTTACAACAATGCCAAATGGCATGCCGAGCGTGGAGATTGCGTTGAGATTATGGCAAATTCTGTTTGAAGAGGAAGATTTTTGTTAAACAGTGGATTTAATCCAGCTGATTCGTATAGTCATATAGTTATAGTCATACAAGCTTCAATTTGTTATTTTTAAAACACTGTTTTGTGTATAAAAAAATAATTTCCTTCAATAGCAATTTGCAACATTTTATATATATTGTGTTTTTTATTTCAGTTGTTTGTGTTGCGTCCCGTACAGCTCTGATTCAGCGAAGAACACCGACCATTACTGCCCCAACTGCGAGCGATACCTCGGCACATACGTCAAGTAATTACATGCGCGAGTTACATTCTACATACATTAAAATTTATATTTTTTCATTGTTACGGTTAAGAAAGATGCCTCAAATATATTATTAAAAATATCTTTATTTTAGTAATAGAATCATAAGACAGAGTAAACCAATGTTGAGAATCTAACAGTTTGAGTTATCCAACAAATCTTTTATTTATTAAGTAAGTGGAGCTTACTCATTGAAATAAAAGTCATTGGTTCTCATTTAATTGTAATTTAAATGGTATTGTGCCATATTAAAAGTAAGTATAGTAAGTTAGCTGTTCAACAGTCAATTTCCTATCCTTATTTGAGGTAAAACCTACACGTAATTATTGTATTTTATATTTTTTGAAATTAAATATTTAATGTGAATATATGGGTGTTTAATTGTATCTGAAAGAAATAAGTGTAATGAAACGACAAGGTATTAATGTGAATGATATATTTATGTATATTACACTTATAATACCTAGACAGAGTTTAGTCATGTACATCGTACAGTAAGCGTGCGCTTCAGGCGACGTACTGGTTGGTGAGCGCGCGGAGCAGGCGGGCGCGGCGGATGGCGGCGGCCTCGCGCTGGATGTCCTCGCTGTTGTTGGCGTTGAGCTCGAGCGCGCCGGCGGCCCGCACGGCGCGCGCGCGCCGGCCCCCCTCCCCGCGCCGCGCGTGCAGCGCCACCGCCACCTCCAGCAGCGTGCCGTCCCATATACACCCGTAGTACCCGTCCATGGCGTCCGCCGCGTTGCCCGTCTGATTACATAAACAGTTCGCGTATGACTTCAAAATATAATTTCTTTTCTCAAAAATGCTCCGTATAGGGTGCAGTGCAACAGTAACGGCCATTTTCAGTAAGCTATGCGGCATGAACTCCATAAAAAAGTGGAAACACCGTATCTTTAGTAGCCAAATCTACAGAGACATAAGTATTTACCTTTTCCGCGAGGCATTTGAAGGCGGTGGTGTAGTCTGGGTCGTCGGGTAGTTGGCAGAGCGCGGCGGCCTGCGTGGGCGCGGCGAGAGCCTGGCAGCAGCGCGCGGCGCGGCGGGCGACGCTGGGCTCGTCGGGCGCGCGCTTTGCGAAGTGCCACGAGCCGGCCGCCGCGCCACACAAGTACCGACGAAGCGCCGCGCCCCATCTACCCTCTGCCATCTCCACGTCACCGTACAGACGGAGCCTAGTGTAAAGAATAATATGTTAATTATTTAGCTTCTTCTATCGGTTACGTCCACATTCCCGAAACAAATAATCTATTTCATTCAAATACGTTTACTAAGTTTTTAGTGTAAGAGTAAGAAACACTCATTCATACATCCTCGCAAAGTCAAAGTCAAAGTCAAAGCATTTATTTCAATTAAACCATAGTTTGGTACTTTTTTCTTTTCGTCAACAAATTAACAGTACCATTAGATTATAAAAAAGTAACAGTACCATTAGATTATAAAAAAGTGGACAACAACTGATTTCGATTTGATAATACGACTATTAAATGAATAGAAAGCTAAAATTTTGTCCAAACAACGGTATTATAAGACGTTTAAAGAATGAGCATCATGTTTAATGAATAGGTATGTCAAATTCCTAATAGCATTCGTTCCGAATAAATTTTCCTGATAACGGTGTTTTTTGCATTCCGCGTAGTTCTCGCACGACCTGATCTTGTTGACTAAATCTGAGAGATTGCCGGTATTTCGATTTGTCGAGAAGTTCATTTAGATTTCGACGCTGTGTTATATAAGATACGCAACCGTCGTCTAGCGGTGGATAATATGATTTATCGGTTGAATAAGTAATCTACCTATCTATCTATATATAAAATAAAGTCGTGTTGGTTACACTATTTATAACTCGAGAACGGCTACATCGATTTGGATGAAAATTTGTGGGGTAGCTTAGAACCAGGAGACGGATATAGGATTATATCCAATACTTTATTTTTTTTTACGTTTTACTGAAAATCATGAATGGGAAAAAACGGGATTGCGCGTAGGAAGTCCCGGGTTAAAGCCAGTAAATAATAATTAGTCGACCGTTAAATTCTTTTTAGAAGTAAAAAATATGATCGTCTAACATTGATATTACTGGGATTTTATATCGGTGTCGTGAGTATCACCTTTCAATTCCCACAATATATACACTCAAGCAGTGAATATGTATGAACAATTTAACAACTATACTAGCAATAGAAGAGAAAACCCGACTTACCATGCTGTATTATATGGATATAACTTCAAACTCCTTTCTAACAAATCAGTGAGAGATTCCAGAACGAACTTGGCATTGTAGTTATTTGTGTTGGAGATGTTGTTAGGCCAGAGGTTGGTATAGTCTACTACTAGTTCTAAGGAGGGATCGTCTATGAGGAGGTTGTGTATCCTGGCGAGGAGGGAGAGCATCACGCTGACTGCGAGAGGTTCTCGGAGGGTTGAGAGGAACCCGTTGAATGAGTTCCGAGCCTCCGCAGTGGCGCCCGGCGCGTCGCGTTGATGAGCCGGCGCACCGCTCGCGTTCCTTTTCACAGGCCCAGTCGGACCCGTCGCGTACACACCCAGTACTGAAAAAGAATAAAGTCAAATTAACTTATAATACAGTTAATCAATCATATCTATGTTCTCATATAAACCCATACGATGTAGCAATGAGCTTCTTGCTCGGTTTTTACATACGAATTTACTTTTTAGTTGGCGCAAGTAACTTCAGTAACAAATACAAAATGACAGTTTATTCCATTTTGATGTCTTAAGGTTACACTAGTCGATATTTTTTCCATAGAAAGTTCGGGGTGGTATTACTCGACAGTGTGAATGTGTACCTACAAAATTAAACACGATATCGTTTTATCTTGTAATTACATTTGTCTGTACGGAAACAAAAAAAATAAAAAAAAAACTAATAAAAAGTTATGAGCCAACAAAGTTTTGTTTTTCTTTACAATTTTAACGCAACTTTGGGTGTTAAAAAATACCACTAATCGTGTAAAATCTCCAAACCGAAGACCGTACCGACTCAGCACAATTACCATAAAGTTCTATAAAATTTATTTGAAATTGATCTAAGCAGTGGTTTTTTCAAAAAACGCTATTTTCTAAAGCACTAAATCGTACTTTTTTACGCACTCGTTTTGTGATGGATTATCGTGCATTTCACTGGATAAAACTCCCCCGGCAGTGGCGCGGGGCGGAGGGAAGACGCACACGCGTTTTTGCACAATTTTTTGCACAATTATTATTTGCACGACACGCGCTGTCGTGCAATTGTCGTGATTTAGTGAAGTTGTTTTGGTTGATTGCATGACACTTGGAATTTCCAAGTGTCATTGGAAAATACATAATAAACAATGGGTAAGTCGTCCCTACAATTTATTATACCTTATCTAATTAGATTTTATTAGATACAGTTATCGGTTTAAATTAAATTTTGTGTAGAAACTGCTGATGGAATCCAGTTGAAAAAAACGCATAATTATTATTATCAGGTACAAGGCCAACTGATGGTAACTAAAAGAAAGTTTTGTTATTTTGTTGTTTGGACGCCAAATGGCATCGAAATAGATATAATTGAAAGAGATGATGAGTTTTGGACGCCAGACAAAATTTCTAAATTAGATATATTTTACCACCAATGTGTTTTGCCGGAGCTGATAGATCCGCGTTACCCTCGTAAATTACCATTTAGAGATAGATTTTAAGTCAATGTCAATAATTACGTTAAATAAATATTACGATTACCAATAAAGATTTTTCAGGTTCATTGTTTTTTTTTGTCTATAAATAAAAGCATAATAAATAAGTAAGTAACTAAAAGGGTGAACCCTTAGCAATTATACCCAGCCTTGCGGCGCTCTCCTGTGCTGCTAATACAGATACTATACCGGCATGAATATTGAGCGTTGACTCAGATTGCGCAGAAATCAAGTCTCTTTAGTAGTAGGTATTGTGAGAAGGATTGTTGCTACCTACAATTCTTCTCCCAAAAATCCTTTTACAGTGATTAGCTCGCCAATGTATACCTACCCACTTTGATGCCGAGCGCTCAAGATTCGAGCCGGTATCTCTACTTATGTTTGTGTCAGGGAGGTACCTAGTGCGCAGCTTTATGTTACGTTCCGAGCTGCCAAAAAGTCTGTAGGTACCTAACACGAAGTTGGAGTTAGGGACCTACCTACACGATGTAGGTATGAAGTCCACAAGTTTTGTTACGGACGAAATGACGAAAATCTAATTATGTGGTATTATCACTACTTCTAGTAATCTTAGGTAGTCACCGACGTACCTAACTAGGTAAGTATATATTTAATTTTATGAAAACATAATGACAGATCAATTGTCTCGAAATTCAGGAAATAATTCAGACCAGTAAGTACCTACCTAAATAGGTAGGTAGTTCCTGAGATTATTATGTTCAACCAAACAAACTATAATATTAGTTAAACATTATAACCTGATGAAAATATGACATTTGAACTGTATTATTTAGATAAAAGATGCATCTAGCTAGTTTGTAGTAGGTACATAAAGTTATTGGTACTTAGAAAAAAAAATATTATATAAAATTATATCCCTAGCCTTTCGTGGATTCTTCGGATCGGATGATAAGTTGATATCATAAAAAAATTGTCAGTAATTACAATGCCCTGTGACAATAATTATTAAATTCATGCGAGCATCATAAAATCGTAGCAGCGTGTACGACTTTACTACGAGTAAACACACACAGCACAGATATATGCACCGTTCAGTGACGTTTTGCTGTGTTTGTGTGCGTGCGAACAATACGTCGTGCAAATAGATAGCGTCTAACTGCTCATCACTGGTACTATCTCTGTCACACACGATGTTAGATGAGACAGCGCGCTTTTTGGCCACGCCCTTGATTGAGTTCGAGCCCGCGACTAGTTTAACCTTAAAAGTGCCTGTACATGATGATGAAATTCAAACACTTTGTTCAACTGTCACTTCAACCAGTTCGGTCACTTACCAAAATCCCATAAGGGTCTGGGGAACTTCCTCGTCGCTTTGCCTCGCTGTAACTCGAAGCAGGCAGCGCAGAGTGCGGCCGCTACTTCACCCGGTCCAGTCGTGATCCCCACTCCTTCCCACTCACACGCATTTATCAAGCATATCCAGCATGCTTCAATTACCTGACACAAAGAAATACAAAATAGCATCAGTTGCAAATGTTTAGGACTGCAGTGGATAGAGGTGAATAGAACATTATTTAAGTACCTATTACGAAACACGTCAGCTCACCTGCGGTCTAGGAACGACTCCGTCACCAGAATTGACAGCAGCGATACAAGCTTTGCATTTGTTGGCCAACGCGGACAGGTTGATGCGGTGGTGCGGCCACTCGCTCAGCACCACGTTGATCT